AACCAGTTTATTCTTTCTCAATACAAACTTTTAGTACACAGTAATTCCCAGTGTTAGTAAGTCTCTCGACTCTTTAAACATTTATAATACACACTATAAATCACAGCGGTTCACAATCTCGATAACTTTGCTCTATGTGAGTGCAGAACACACTAGCCCGAAACTCACAGTGATTACTGTTCGCTTTATCATACATTCAATCCTGCTGGCTTTTCTTGCCAGGCTCATATACTAACAAAGAGGTGTCTCGATCACACTCGAGTTTCTCTCATAATTGGAGAAACTCGGTCACGCATGCGCTAGTAGCATCACGTGACTTCCGCTGTCATGGTTTTCATGGATATCCCTCATGTAGCTTTGTATGTAAGGCAACTAACAAACTTGTCGATTAGTAGGATGTCATTATCAGTCATCTGACATCTTTCTATTTCTTATTCACAACTTTACAGAATGTTTTTTAACCATATGCTCATTTCTCATTAGTATTTATATTGTGAGTTTTCATTGCATATTAAGAACTTTTGTTTATTTAACTGTTTTGTTCCACATGATTTTTGTAGGTTCTTTTCATGAAGACGTAAAAGAAGGAACAAGTACGTAATCATCATCTAAACACATTTTCCAACTTGCTGCTTATTTGGAGAGTAGCCTAGTTTTGTCATTTCAGGTTTTTAAAGATTATTCTTTTGTTATGAGGCTTTTCTATTATATAGTTAGTATGGTTTTTCTCTTTGAAGATTTTGTTTGTTGCATGCTTATGTTTCTAAAGTGCTGAATGTCCTTTTTTCTGTTCAGTCTTCATTTTGTTTCTATACTCTCAAGGTTTTGAATAGTGATGTGATAATTTTGAAATTAATTAATGAATTTCATAAAATCTAATGAGATAATCATTGGCAGTTTTGAATCCAACAATAGAAAATATTCAAAACTAGGTAGAAATAATATAGCGAGTATATTTAATAATTTAAAGATTTGTTTGTGTACTCAGAGGTAAATGTTTGACTAAACAGAGATAAAGTACTTGTACTTGCAAGGTGCTGAATGTCCTTGTTTCTGTGTGTAGAGACATCTCAAAAGTAAATGGCTCTGCTTTGCAGACTCCACTGGTATTATTTTACTATTTTTGTCCAAACTGGAAGTTTCGTCAAGTATCAGATGTTACTATTTTGAGGCTTTTCTGTTTCTCGAGTTTATGCTGTAGGTTACTTACTGAAAATCAGCAAAGGTGCTCTAACTTTTCCATGTATGTTTAGTGCTGATGTTGAAACTAAACACAAAATAAACCTTTTAAAATGAGTCACGGGTGAAAAGCCATGTCACCTTGTTTGTTGACTCACATTCAATGTTTTATTGAACTACTATTTCATGAATTTATGTCAATAAGTTTGGTATCAAGCTGTAGATTATAATTCAAATTTTAATACTATACATTACTCAATTTCTTAATTTAAAAGTAAATATTAAAAACACAGATAAACGTCGATTTTTGTGTGTCTCATGGTATGTTGAATGCAGTACTGGTTCAAATTAAATGTTTATTAAGTCAAAATACTAAGTCTATAGTTTTGTATAAACTAGAAATTCAAATTATCGATATTGATAAGTTAGAATATAAAATAAGAACATCTTATCTTTTCTATTTGCTAAGATATTGCTCATATAATAAATCAAACACAGTGGCACTCCGTCCATCTCTTTCCATTTTTGGAAACACTCCCCTATATACACTTACTTCTATATATGATATGAATAACCAATTGGAAGCTCAGAATGTCCCCCTAGTGGCTTTCTCAGACATAGTAATGGACTTGGACACCTTTCTTTCTTTTGAACCAATATTTCAATGAAGTAGGGTGTGTCTCTAGTCTGATTGAAATTTCATATTTTTTTAGACTAAAATACATCTCAGTTACTAAGCTTGAAAAATTATAGTAGTATTCTATGGTAATGATGTAGTAATTTATGATTTTTTAGTTATTTAAATGTATATATATAAAACCTAAAAAAAAATTGTTTCTTATGTTCCACGTGCAAAATATTTGAAGGCTTAGCAACCTACGTCAAGCAAGAACTGAGTACAAAGGTTGTAACTAGAAGAGATAAT